TGGCTTTTCTGTACTAAGAGTTATGTCTGAAAAGGGTGATATGTCCATGCTCAGAAAGGCAGCTGGGGCAAGAGCTTGCAGCCTGACTCGCAGTTTCAACACTTACCAGCACCAATGCACTGCTTGCAACATCTTTTTGACTAATGCAAACGAGTCCCTCAGACACTTAGGTTTGATTAATTTTTCAGATGCAAAGACACCATAAGCATTTTTTTCTGCTGCAAGGTTTTGGTTTGGAAAGTCTGTCCTGCAATGTATTCAGTGCAGTGATTTTCAGTTTTTCAGGCTGTGTCCCAAACATTTAACAACTGAGCCACCACACCAGAAATGCATACTTAAAAGCATTGCAGATCATTATGATTTTGGGGAACTGTTCACCATCTCCCCTAGTCTGTGTGAAGACAGGTATTTGAAAACCCAACCCCCCGAATTTACCCTGTGCACAAACATCCCAAAGATCTGCTAACCTGTGGAGTCGCGAGGACGTCCTGTTCCTGGGGTGCTCCAACCTTGCCAATCAGAAAGATTCCACTGTTAGCAGAAGCAGCCACATTTCAGAGCCTCAAGCACTGCAATTCAAATCTTACCTGGAAATGCATTTCAACCAAACTACAAAATGCACCAGAGCCTCCCACCCACCACCATGAACCGCAGAGAGATGCAGAGATGCTCTACAGGATGGTTTGTTCAGCCTCTCAGACTATCAGAAAAATGAACATTAGGTAGGAGAGGGTTTTTCACTGCCTCCCAGCTTCACATTTAGTGTAACTCTGCATTTTAATTCACAGAAAAAAAAGAACAAGAGATACACCTAAACAACTTATTTATGGATTGGTTTCTCTGTTGTGCTTTCCTCTCAAATCCACTTCCTTCTCACAAGAGGATCTTGATCAACCTGCACATCTCTGGCTCTGGGTAGTAAGTCAGGAAAAACGTCTCTTTACATAAAATGTAACCAAAACTTGACGAAAAAGGGCTTCCTGACCTAAGCTGTCAGAGAAAAGGACAACAGAAGTCCCAACGTAATTCTGAGACATCAAAACCTCATGCATTTTGGTGCATCACAACAAAGATACCACTGTACCATAGGAGAGGAGATGCAAGCCCAGGAAGGCATTTTTATTTAAAGATATCTATTATTTATTTATTTATTGCCACTGTGTGTTGTGTGAAATACTCCAAATCTATCCATTTCTGCCACAACCACACCTTTGTTTTGCTAAGCCATACAACCCTAGTGTCAGCAGAGCAGTCCAACTGTACAGATGAGGCAACTCAAACCATTTAACTATGAACATTTACTTTGCCAGCCTTTGTGTTCTGTCTCTCTGATCAGTGCCTGCTTCCCAGGCCACAGCAAATCCCCACCTCACAGCATAAGCCATGGATTTCAGACAGTTTCTGCACTTCCTTCCCCAACAGCTTGTGAGTTGCATCCCAATTCCTAAACACCTCCACCACCGACAGAAGCCAAGGAAAGGAGACTCTTACCACGTGCCTGTACTTGTTAACGTTCTGCTGCAAGGCAGTTAGTAGGAAGCTGAAGATCTTCTCCATGTTTTGGGTGAGGGTTTGCTGGATATCTCGTCGCCGCTGGGTAGGCAGAGTTTGAAAAGTCACCACATCCTCTGCCAAACGTAGGAGGATGAACATCACCAGTTCCGTCTGAGTTTCCTGATGCCCCAAGATGAAACACACTCCATCAGAACAGTTCAAACATTAACATCTCTAGAGGCTAGCTCAGAGCTGTAGAGAGCAAGTGAGCATCATGCATGAAGATACAAATCACACTTTGGGAAAACAAGACAGGAAGATGGCCCTCCCTCTGCTAAAATAATCTCCTAGCATAACTTCATCTCACAGGGATTTTCAAATCCATCATCAGCCTGTCTCATCCCATCATGGATGGCTTGGGCCTTCCTCAGGATGATGGAAAACTGAAACCCATGCTATGTGCAAGCAGAAGAGAACAGACAGGTACGTTTCATACCCCTTGCTTGGATAGTGTATCCAGTTCCTTTAGCATGTCAGGCCAGTGCTGAGGCCACTCACGCTTGATCATCTCCACCACAATGCGAGAAAGAACATCCTTAATGTGACTTTCCTCCTCCAGAATACTTTGAGTTCCCTGTGATAAGACAGAAGCAGAGTTATACAAAAATGCAAACATCAGACATTTACAATTCTTGCCTGGGAATCACAAAGTGGATGCAAATATTCAAAACCATACAAAATAAAAACAACAAAACAACACACAACATTGGGCAGCTCTTCATCCCAGCTACCTTGGATGACACTCCTACCTTCCCAAGGACCCACTGCTAGTGAATTCTGGGAACGAAAAGGATTTTCCTTGAAAAAGGTCACTTAGTCAGAAGAGCATTCACACGGATGGAAAAACCAAGCCTAAGATAATGACTTCAGTGTTCTTGCAAAGGCTAAGAACATGTTTACTGAATTCCCTCCTAAGAAACTAAAAAGTAGCTTGTATACGTTTTCCACCTCACAACTTCCTGCCACGTGAGGTGACATGCTTAGTGACCTGGCTACAAGGCAGATAAAAAGCACTGGGACAAACAGGGATGCACAGCAAGAGGTAAATGCAGAATTGAATTCAGGTCCTCTGTGCTAATTAAGCGCAGTCATTTATCCCTTTGCTCCCATTTTCCATCTCCAAGTGAGAGAATCATGTTTCAGAGAACAGGCTGGGATAGAAGGTACTTACACTGGATATGAGGCCCATGACATTGTTCTTTAGATAAACCTTCTCTAGGCGAGGCATATTGTTCCAGCGGAACCTGTTCAGAAGGGTTTAAGAAATAAAAGGGGGGAAAAAGAAATAAAAGGGACACAATGGCAAAACATTTAAAAAGATCTCCGACTTGGCTCTTGATGGACCATCACTTCTTTACCTAAACGAGAGGGAGACATCAGGGCTCACTGTCCGTGCCAGGGCCCAGTCCTTTAAGGAACAGGCTGAACCAAGCCTGCTGCTGGCGGGTGGGCGTGCACCGCGGCGGGGAACACCTAGGCAGCAGCAGCCGGGGCACAAAGCAGCCAGTCTGCAGGGGAGGCAGCGAGAGGCACCTCAGAACCGAACTGATACAAAGCCTCTTTGTTAGCGTCAGGCCAACAAAAGAGAAGCTGCAAGGACCTCCTGACAGCCCTGTGTGTTTATATTTACATCTTGCAACGCCAACACCTCCCAGAGTTTGCTGGATTAGCCTCCCCAGCCTGCCTGAAGGCCGCTTTCTCCTCTCCTCCTTTCAGACAGGAGGCAAGAAACAGAGACGAACAGCAGCTCTCCCCCTCTCTGCGGCTCGGGAGTGCCCCCCCTGAAGCCAGGAGGCAGGGGAGGAGGGCAGAGCCCGCACTGGGGGCTGCGGGGCGGCGGGCGGGCCCCCTTCCCCGCCGCGGGGGCGGCCTTACTTGACCACATGCTCCAGGATCTGCAGGCCGAAGTGCCGCACGATGGCCGTCTGCGTCTTCTCGGCCAGCTTCAGCCCGCAGGGCACGCAGATGGGGCACTTCTCCTTGAACTCCTCGCAGAACTGGGGAAGGCCCGGGGAGACGCACACGCAGTTAGAGCCGGGCAGAGGAGGGGACACCCACCCACCCACACCCACC